CAGCCCCGCCCCCCTGGAGCACTGCTTTACCGCATTATATCAGAATTCGTGTTATTGTGGCTCTTCCACCCCTGCAATCTGGCTACATCCTCCCTGAAATCACAGTCAACCTCAGACATCATTGGGTGTAGGAGCAGCTGGTACTTCATGAGGGTAGGTCCTGCTCTAGTTCATATTTAGTGCATTTGTTCCTCTCCACACTGACTGGTGAAGGGGAGCTCTTGCCCTCCCTCTTTTTTTTTTTTTTTTTTTAAACCATGGTACCCTTGTTATCAGCATGTGAGAGCTGTTCTAGCTCAAACACATGATGCAAACCCACTGTGGCTTGTAAAACTCTGCAAACAAATTTCACCCCACTGGCGAAATGGAGCGGTGGTATTTTTATTGGTTTTGCAGAAAAAAACATTGTGCTTTTGTGCCTCCAATTTTTACAACTACATTAAACAGTGCTTACTGTGCCTGCAAACTCCCTTTTCCATGATCCCTAAATAGGGAAAGACAATTGGGCTTTTGTGCACCTACACCCTGTAAATGGAGCAGTACCAAATGATTTCTTTTGAAGCATCTGGTGTATCTACCAATGCCAAGGGCAGCATGGTGTACACGATGGAGCAATATTTTGATCTGCTGAATAGTCATTTTGCTTTGGATAGAGATAAAGGCAAAACTGTAATGCAGGCCAGAGAATGCAGTAACTGCAATCTCCAAATAAATAAAATAGATGACTATCAGATGATCTGTCCATAAACAATGTGATGAATGCATGCTGAGTCTGAGTCACTGGAACTGATGGGAGAGGATGAGAAATCAGTTTGATTTCATAATAATCTCTCTCTAAGGTCAAGTGAAAGATGATATGGGACATAAGAATGGCCATACTGGGTCAGACCAAAGGTCCATCTAGCCCAGTATCCTGTCTTCCGACAGTGGCCAATGCCAGGTGCTTCAGAGGGAATGAACAGAACAGGTAATCAAGTGATCCATCCCCTGTCTCCCATTCCCAGGTTCTGGCAAACAGAGGCTAGGGACACCATCCCTGCCCATCCTGGCTAATAGCAGACATCCCCTTCCTTTAATTTTCCTCTAATACACGTGCTAGCTGCATTAGCTGTTATTAATCAGCCATTGTTTAGCATGAACATGTGATAAAGCTGGGATTCCCTCTGTACTCTGGCATGATCATACTTTGGCATGATCTATAGAGCCACTGGGACTTAGGTACTTGTTTGTCATGGTTGGTAAGGAGGGAATCCAAATACTATTTGCCAATATTACTTTTAAAAAAAAATTAGAACATAGAAGTTGACTGGCGTGTCAATTCCAAAACCAACTCTAATAAATCCTAATAACTGTGTTTCCATGAGTTTGGTTTTCTAGTATTTCTATTTGGTAGTGAAATGCTTTGCTTTTTAGTCCATCTAAGGCAGTAGTTCTACAATGTTCCCTTGAGCAGACAGGTCAACATTTTGAAAAGTGACTAGTGATTTTGGGTGCCGTACTTGAGACACCTTAAAGAGGCCTGACTTTCAGAGGATGGCAGTTCAGCAATTTCTGAGAACTGGCACCCCTAGGCTATCTCAAGCTAGGCACCCAAAACTGAAGCAGTTAAAATCACTAGACATTGGAATAACCTGACCAGCACTGGATCTCCTTGTTTCAGCTGCTAAATGTCAATAAAGCTAAAACTGGAATAAATTATTTGCAAATATTAATTTTCCAAATAAGCAGTTGCTGTAGTTCCTAATGGGAGGGGAGGTGTCTGAACAATCTGTCCATTAAGATGTGGTCTCTACTATGTAAAAGTTCTTGATTGCCCGATCTAAGGTATTTCTAGGCCACCCATCAAATGCCTGCCACAGCTTGAAAGCTGTGCTCTCTTCAACTCCCTGACAGTACTACTTTATCACTCTTAACCCAGTTTAGACTATCTGGGATTTCAATGCAAATGGTCAGTTGGCATTTTATATACTACAGCTTTGTACCAAGAATAGTCTCAGCCTCATCTGCCCTATTAAGAAGTGACCAGATGGAGATTTTTCTGTCTTTCCCTCCTGGGTAAATTGTATCTAATTAAAAATTATTCCCTCCCTTCCTGCTACCCTCCTACACATTTTATATATCATCTAGAGGTTACCTCTGGTTATTTCAGCAAAGGATCATCAGGTCTTGGATAAAACTTGGGGACTTTCTTTGGGGAGGCAAGAAGCCAAAGTTCTAACTGAGCAAAACAAAATTAAAAGTAGATCAGGTTGTCCTGATGGTATGTGTTACAATGTACAGGGTTGGTTGTTTACTTTAGAAAAGGGGATGGGTGATGGACTTCTGCTATAAGGGCATTGCAGCTATCAAAATACAATTTACACAATCTGAAATTTACACCTGGGATATAATCCCTATTGAAGTTCTTTCTTTGTTATAAAATATAACAATTGAACACAATCTCCTTTTTTCCCATGCATGTAGGCACATGCAGCATCTGAGGCCTGGTCCACACTAAGCCCCCAGTTTGAACTAAGATACGCAACTTCAGCTACGTGAATAACGTAGCTGAAGTCCAAGTACCTTAGTTCGAACTTAAAAGTACTTACCACGGGTCCACACGCGGCAGGCAGGCTCCCCCGTCAACTCCGCCTACTCCTCTCGCAGAGCAGGATTATCGGCGTCGACGGCGAGCACTTCCGGGATAGATTTATCGCGTCTAGACAAGACGCGATAAATCGATCCCAGAAGACCGATTGCTGGCCGCCGAACCAGCGGGTAAGTATAGACGTACCCTTAGAAATGTTCTGAGCTTGGTTTGTACAGTCTTTCACTTGATTCTCTATGGCAAGAATTTCTTTCTTAATAAAGAAACTAAAATGCTTAAAGAAAGTACACTAAGATCCCAAATCAATAACAGGGCACTGAAAATGTCCTCATTTAAAAATGATGGTTTTACACGTTAGAACTACAGCATGACTTGAAACCAACTTTGCATCATATCATCGCATGAACTCTGCGGAACTTTGTATTTAGAGCTGAACTGCACAGTTGGCTGCTGTGTCTCTAATGGGCAGAACATAACCTTGGATCTGAACTTTCCCAAAGTTTGGAGTTCTTCAAATATGGTGCCAAACTTTCTATGCAGGCTATCTCCAGTTAGTAACTGACTTCGGGCACTCAGTCTGTTCTGTGTTTCTTGGGCAGCAGCTGATACCATCACAATAACCTAGGCAGGAGCTCATCTTCCTCAGGGATTTATTTGACAATATGACCTTAATATCCTTCAAGCAGTTGGCAGAAAATGGGAAATGGCTGTAGCAGTGGACAGGCTGGAGGAGGCAGTACAAACCTAGGGCCAGTCACACAACACCAGCAGACTGTTTATTATTAAAAAACAAAGCACAAAACAGTTTTAATGTAATCACTTTTATTTTTACTCATTTTTCCTCCTTTCTCAGTATATCACAAATCCCAAGACAGAAGCATTTAAAATGTGAGCAGATGATACTTTCTAGAAGTTCAGCTTTTTCAAAACATTGATTGTCCAGGAGTTGCACAATATTTTAGTTGGGTCATTTTTTTTTTAACACCTTGAAGAAAAGACGTGAGGAGCAGTGGATGGCTCAGAGGAGTTGCAAAAGGCTGTGTTTAAATCTAGGTTTACCTCAATGGCTGTATAATGGGAGTCTAAAGAAGAAGAAAAGAACAAAATAAAACAAACCTGGGATAACAGGTGTTGCGAGTCAAGAATTGGGAATGCACTAGCAGAAATGTGTGCAATTTTGCTTGGCACCTAACTATGCTTTGTGGCATATTCTGCCACATTTATTCAGATTAAGTAATACATAATTATAGGAGTAGCCCCACTGAAATCAATGAGATTACTTGCAAAGCAAGTTACTCATGTTGAGTAGTGAAGGTGGCAGCAACTGGTCATTTAGCCATATCAGCACCTATACAGCACTCTTCGTCTATGGATCTCAGAATGCTATTAGTTCCTATGTTGTACATAAATTCTTACCAAAATGTCTGAAATTCAGCAATTAAAAAAATAGCTTTAGGCCAAAATATTGGGATTGGAAGGTCTTAGCACAGGAGCTACATTTTTCCTCCTCTGAAATGGTTTGGTATAAAAATACAAATATATGCTGAATACATGTTATGGTTGCTCTTCTCTGACTGTGACTTAGGCCTGGTCTACAGTGGGCGGGGTGGGGAGAGGGGGGATCGATCTAAGCTATGCAACTTCAGCTACATGAATAGCGTAGCTGAAGTCGACATACTTAGATCTACTTACCATGGTGTCTTCACTGCAGTAAGTCAACGGCTGACACTCTCCCATCGACTCCGCCTGCGCCTCTCACCCTGGTAGAGTACCGGAGTTGATGGGAGAGCACTCAGCGATCGATTTATCGCGTCTAAACTAGATGCAATAAAATCGACCCCCGCTGGATCGATCGTTGTCCATCGATCCAGTGGGTAATGTAGACAAGTCCTTAACAATTGCAAGTGATACTAGCCTGCCACCTATTCCGTGTGAAGTGGCTGCATTGGGCCATACCTTTGCCTCCCTCCACGGCATGGGCGCTCAGGCACAGGAGCAGAATTATGCCACAAAGTTATTCTACCCAAGAACTGGAATTTTCCTTCATAGAGACTTGCAACGAAGTCAGAGAGCAGCTCTGTGATAAAAAGCACCACCTTCATTTTGAAAAAGAATATATGCAAACATGGATACACAGCTCAGTCTAAAAGGCTGATTCTTGTGTGCTGCAGGAGTAAACCAGAAAAGGTCAAAGGCACTTGGACTCTATTGCCTGCTAGGAAATCAGCTTAAAACATATTTTCTAGTACCAAGTATTGCATATAGGATTATATTCTCTGCAAATACTGTACTCCATTTTTCCTACTGTTCAGCGTATCCATTTGTCTAATAGTACCGTACGCTACTTTAAAGCACTGGAACTCTGGTAGAACTTCAATATTAAATAAACCAAATCTTGATTTTTACATTACAAGAATCTCCTTGAAACTAGCAGTTTGATATGTGGCTAAATCCCTCCCACCTTAATCACATGATTAGTCCCGCTGAAGTCAGTGGGACTAGTTACAGTAATGAGATGATAAAGATTTACCATATTTCTAATTACCAAGAAGAATGCAGTGATGACATAGTACATTCAACTCACTGAAGTTTGATCAGCAGATGGGCAGTGAGTTGGGTATTATTGTTACGGTGCTGTAAGTGTAAACACTACTTTACCCAATGTGTAAAAGACAGGAAGCAGCCCTGTATAGGATACCTCTCAAATAACTTATTTTTTTACATATACATTTTAAAAATGTCAAAAGTAAGTTGTTTTTAGACAGACAAAGTCGAAAACTCAGCCTGTAAGTTCTTGTACAGCAGCAACATTCAGACACTGACACTCTGAACCTGTACATTAAAATGCAAAGTTCTGCATGAACATGTTTAAAAATTAGGTTTTTGCCAAGCAAGTTAGGCTGAAATTTTCATACTTGAGTGTCTAAAGATAGGCACCTGAATGTATATTTAGGCATCGAGATACAGATTCCCTGATTTCCAGTGGTTCTGATCTCATTAACATCAGTAGCAACAGTGGCTGCTCAGCTGTTCTGGAAATCAGGGATGTAGATACCTAACTATAACTACTCAAGTTTGAAAAATTTGGCTTTAGCTATAATGACATTTTATTTTAAAAATAATAGCCAAGTTTCATTGTCTCCGATTACAGTGTCTGAAATATAATTAAAGTAACAATTAATAGAGCAACATGTCTATGGCTAAAGCTGCAGACTAACTGACATGGAAAAAAAATGCAAAATCTGTAGCTCTTGAAAGTAATTAGAGATCTGTAGCATTCCACAGATACTTCATATTCGGCTCCTGGAAAGCATTACTAGGCAATTTAAAACTTTTTCATAGTATTACAATGTTATCATTGCCACTGATATGCTTTTCAAGCTGGTCTGAGGAAGACTTTATGTTATTAACACTGCAAATCTTTACTAACTATTTCAGATTTACTTTCCACCCCTCCAAATCCCCCCATTTTGGCTCAAGCACCACCGACTAGACTTGAACATATTTTTAAATACAACAAAAATATGAAGACAGAGAATTGGTTCTTTTATATGCAATTTTGGACTCGGTTGCAGGAAAGACTTTAGGACATTATTTTCTTAAAATTCTCTTTATAAAAGTCATCCTGAATTACTCATATGGCTAAGCCATTGGCAGGTCATGGTAAGCTGCATATCTGCCAGTCACATGATGGTAAATCTGCAAGGAAAAGGAGAATTTATAATGGTATCATATACAACTAAAAATTAAAAAGGTATCATTAGCCAACAAATTAATGACATGTTGAGGGGCAGTTGGGTGTTAATATATTTTAAAATATGTGTGTGTGTGTAGAAAGATTTCTATTGACTACGATGGGCTTCAGAACAGACCCATGTTGAATATAAAATGTACTTTTTATTTATGTCTCTCTCCCCCACCTATCATATGCTCCTGGTTGCTTTAGAGATTGTAAACTCTATGGGGCACTAGAAGCAGATGACTACTCTAGAATGGGTGTAACACAGCCCTCTGCCCTATGGCTGTTCAGTAGCAGGAGGCAAAATCTCCTACTGTATGCTGCTACTACTGCAGAGGGCTGAATCTTACATCACTGGCATGGCAGGCAAGCAGTTCCTAGGCATGGCAGGCAGGTACCAATATCTGGCCACATCCCTCCCTTGCTAACACATTCTCACTTCCTGAAGGGTGAGAAACAAACATGGCATAGCTGCAGGCTTTGGAGCTCAGCAGCAGCAGAGTGACTCTGAGTGGTTGAAAGCCAGCAGAGCAGATTCTCTCTGCTCAGCACTGTGAGCCTGGCCCAGATCGCTGCCTAGGGAGGCAATGCAGACTGATTAGATCATGGAAGCCCCCTAATGACTCCCTGTAGCAACAAGCTAGATTTAAAGAAATCCAGCATGGAAGCAAAATTGTAGTTCTTAAGTCATTAGAATCGTGCTCCATTATCCTTGAAATGGTGTGGAATACATATTTCATGAAAGCAATAAGCAAACATTTTCTATAAAAATGTTTTCTCTCAACCAAGACTGGAAGGAACCTCCCGGGGCCTCAAATCCAGTCCCCTGCTATCACAGAACTAACCTGTCTCTCGATATCGGACAGCAAAGTACTGGCACCTAGGCGAAAGAGGTCTGGTTTCAGCCACTCATCTCCTAGCTCCTCCTTCATCAATACGAGCCAGGTAAGAGCATCCTTTGCACTACGAATGCCTCCAGCAGGTTTAAATCCAACCTTAAGAAAAGTGTAATACATACAAAATACTATTTATTTTCAGTGATTTGTCTTCATTTTAGGAGAAATGAAAATCTGCGTATCTCCAGCTGGGAAATGTCCACAATGTACACCCAAGACTCTGTTATGCGTTAGGTTCTAACTTTAGGCAAAGCCTTCAACAAGCAATAGTGTGTAAGCTGCACCGACTCAGGAGTAGTCCTGGAAGGCTTTGTGCCTCAGACACCCCTGTGAAAGGTACAATTCCCTCCCTGCTTCCGGAACCCCAATGAGAGAGTGGGGTAGAGGCAAGACTGTCCATTCCCAGCCACCCCCTCACCCTCCACTCACATGCTCTGGGGAAAGAGGGAGAGGGTAGGTAATGTCTCCAACTCTTACATGCCTGTTCCCAAGTTCTGGGTAGCTGACGTAGGGGGTATAAAGGATGATTCTTATTCCTTTGCACAGGCACATAGTCACCATCTAGTTCTAAATGTCTAATAATAAACACACACACAAACATCTCCTCAAAGATGTGGAAGTGAAGAGGTCTGTATGGAATGGGAGTTAGCTGTCAACAACTGAGAGGCTTCTATATTTTACTGAAAGCGCATGCATGATAATTATATGCTACCAGTCTGTATTTTTAAGCTATATTTAGTACACTAAAATTAATATACAGTTAATTGCCTAGATATAATAAATCTTTCTACAGGGATGCACCAAGTTGGGTCCGTTCCTGTTAGACATATGAAGTTTTGTTTGTTTGTTAATTTGGCAAATACTGTCATTCCACAGAATATCCACAGAATGTGTTTTTTATCAGAACTGAAATGTAGGGCCTGCAATATACACCGCTACCTCGATATAACGCGACCCAATATAACACGAATTTGGATATAACGCGGTAAAGCAGTGCTCTGGGGGGGGGCGGGGCTGTGCACTCCGGCGGATCAAAGCAAGTTCAATATAACGCGGTTTCACCTATAACGCGGTAAGATTTTTTGGCTCCCGAGGACAGCGTTATATCGAGGTAGAGGTGTATGAAACAATGCAGATCTGAAGTTAAACAATGCGTGCTGTGTTAAGAGAACACATTCTGGGTCCTATGTCGGCTGCATAGCCATACACTTTTAGGATTGCAGAATCCGTCCACATCACAGTCCTTAAGAGCCTAGGAGTTCCTACATTAGAATGGACCATTTATCCATCAAGTTCATTATCCTGCCTTCAGCAGTGGTCTATACATATGCCCTGAAGCTTGAAAAGCAAAGAGAATAAGAAGCAGGCCTGCTGGTATTTGATGTAATGCAGGAACAATCTGGATAGTCTGCAGCGTAGTATATAGTGGTGCTTTCACAATTCCCTCCACCCCAGGAAGATTCTCCTCAGAGAGCCCTGAGACCTTCCCTGTTCCATTTTTTTTTCTTTTATTCTGCTTTCTCCTTACGCCCTCACTCCCTGAGAGGATTATCAATCTGCTAAATATTTGAAGCAGTTATAGCCTGGAAAGCATGAATCCCATTTTCTAGAGGATACAGTGAGATCCGTAAGAAAATTTACTGGAATTAAAAAAAAAATAAAAAATCATTGAACTATGTATTTGGTAAAGATTATAGTAATTTAGCAAAACAAACTTGAAGAAGAAGTATATTTCTCTCACACCGAAGCATTCTAATAACACTATTTCTAAAAGATAAAAACAGGAAAAGCAGCTGAATCTGAAATGCAGAGAGAAAGAGAGAGAGAAAAAGAGTGAATGTAATAGCTCTAGTTTTCCAAAAATAATTCAAACCACGGCAACTGGAAAAACATCTGCAATGCAAAGAATTAAAGCAAAGGGTATATGGTGTCAGTTTTTCTTTCACAAAGGGAAAAACTAATGAAAATCTCATTAGATTCTTCCTACCAGTGTCAAAGCTCTTTGAGATAATCTGTGGCTAAAACAAGTAAACTTCAGGTTTTTTAAAAAAAGGGTGGGGAGAGAAAAATTAAAAATAACACTTGCACAATTTTTCCTGTTCAACATGAGTATTCCAAAAAAGTTTTTATTTTTGCAAAGAGCTGGCAAAGACTGGCCTATCCTCGCCTTCATTGCCCAGCTTTTCAAAGAGCACATCTGACTGCCATAAAAATGCAAAAAAAAGATATTTAATTCAAAAGCTGCATAAAGTCTAGCTGCTTTTTCCCTGCTGTTTCACAGCATTTCATTATTTTGTTTAATAAGTTCATCTCCTCGAGAATTTTCTCTTCACCTTATATTATTAAAAGTAATATGTTTTTCTGGATTGGGGGTTTCCCAACAGAAAAACCAATTTATGTGTCCCCTTCAATAATGACAGGAAAAGATTATTTCCCATTATACTGCACACTTTTCATATCACTACCACAGCTTATCATTCAATAAATGTTACTCTGCAACCTGTTCCTTTCCTTGAAAAAGTTTAATTTCTGTATTAACCTGTTTTTGCCGGCTCACGCCTTGCTAGAAAGCTTCTGTACAGCAGCAGAATTAGTTTGTTAAAGAAACCATTTAGAAATCTCTTGTCACTGATAAAATTGTCTTCAGTTAATAGAAGGATATAAAGTCAGTTTACATCTAATTCTCTCTCTCTCTCTCTCTCACTCACACACACACACACACACACACACACACACACACACACACACACAC